CTTTTGCTCACATGACACTAAGACATTTTCAAATGTGTTTGGATACTAAATCGTATCATCACACTTCTTTACGGTCAAATCTATTCTTGACACTTGGCATGAAAACTCCGCTTTGGGAGTGCCAAGGAAACGATTTCCTCCTTTCAACTCACTTCAGTTCTTCTACGTAAGTGTTTACTTCTAGACTACAACCAGGTGGAGGACTTGAGAAAACTCAATTTCTAGAAACAAGCCAAGTAAAGACATTAATACCAGGCAGCACCCACCATCAAGTTCATTGGTGGAATGGGGGTAGGAACAGGGTGATGGTTAAGATAATTGCCCTCCAATAACATGTGTATTACAGAAAAGTGTGTGTAAGAAGCCAGAGGGATGGACTGGTCAGCCTGGCGTATAGCATGGCCAGGGCAGTGACCATTTCATTTTGGAGTTATACAGAGAGAGGCAGCCGACTTGGCCAGACTCGGCAGGTAGAGATGCAGGTACTGTAGGATCAGAGGCAAGTTTGCTCATATATCAAGTTTGGGACATGAGAACATGGGTAGACCTCAGGGAATGGGCCCTGAATTACTCAACTACTTTCTTAGGGGCCCACAAGGCTGTGTCAGCCTGAAGGTCAGTACATTTCTTTACTTGATAGGAGACTTGTAGTCTCTGTGCACTGGAAGAGAAGCAGGCGTGAGTATACCAGGTCTCCCCAGAGCATCCTCAGACCCACACCCCCACTATTCGTACTTAGGGTATGTATTGTATTACCAACCAAGAGGCTGAGCTTTTCTTGCCGTTCAAATGCACCAGTGACTCTGAGAGAGAAAGATGAGCAGTCTCCTCCTGTTAATATTTACAACCTCAGAAATTCCACGGATGCTATTAGTTGGACTTGATTTTACTGAGTTTTCAAGAAAGGACACTTCTATCGCTCAATTCTCATTACTGCTCGCTCCTGTGGCCTAGTGGTAAGGATTTACACTGTCAGCCCAAAGACACTCTGTTTGAATCCACTATCGTGCTCCAAGAAAGAAAGACAGACAATCTCCTCCCATGAGACTTACAACAGCTGAATGGTTCTGACTCTGATTTTGTTCTGACTCAACAACACATAACATCATCTCATTACTGGGCAGGGAGGAGAAGGAGGATCTGAAAAGGTTGTTTCTAAAGTCCTGTCTACAGTCTCACTGCCGTTAAGCTATGGCTTCGAATTGGTGACACTGGATAAAGATGTGCCCTTCTGACTCCATTCCTTTGCCCTGGGCTCTCTGATGCCTGGCACCTATAGACGTAGAGCCTCCCCAGCCTCTCCGTAATCCTGATGGTTAGAAGGACATTCCCAGGTGGTGGGTAAGGCCTTGTACAAAGCGTGGCCCTCTTGGACTGGACCCGGAGTTGTCATTTGTCATACCTGTGACAAATGTAACAGGTATCGTATCATCTTCCTGGGATCCCATCTACCTGGAACAAAATGCTCCAGCTATTTCCACTCCCATCCACCAAAGGGACTGTGCCTTTTCACTTCTAGAGATAATTTTTTTAACACCGAAAACAATTCTCTCTCTGGAATTAATTAATTAATTCATTAATGACCTTGAACCCATTGAATATTGAGTCTGGAATATTGCACAATCATCCCAGTGGTGCTACGACTCAGGTATGTGGGGAAGTCGATGACCTGGATTGCTGTGGAAATGGTGCTGTCATGTCAATCTTGTCTCATAATGACACCATGTGACAAGGCAAAACTTTTCTTGGCTGCAATCTTTATAGAAGCAGATTTTCAGGCCTTTACCTGCTGAGGTCACTGTTGTGGTGGTGGTGTTTGCCTTCGAGTAGGAAATTACCTCTGGCAGGTTTTCAGAGGCAGTTAATCACACAGGAAGAGATTGCCCAGCCTCCTCCTGCGGAGCAGCTGGTGGATTCGAACAATGTGCCTTCGGGCCACCAAACTGGTAGCTTTGCAGTTAGCAGCCAAATGCTTGACCATTGTGTCACCAGAGCTCTTTTATTAAACTAGAATTTGTTGCCATTGAGTCAATTGTGACTCTGTAGGACAAAATAGAATTAATCCATAGTTTTCAAAAGTGGATCTTTACAGAAATAGACTGCCTCATCTTTCACCTGTAAACCACCAACCTTTTGATGAACAGCTGAGCTCTTAACCTGGGATACAATTCAGTTATTGTTGTTGTTGTTGCTGCTGCTGCTGCCGTGTACCATAAAGTTGGAAATGACTCATAGCTGACTCTCCAGCAAGTTTTCAGAGTCAGTTCATTGCATGGGAGGAGATTGCCCATCCTTTTCCCAGGGAGCAGCTGGTGGCCTTGAACTGCATGCCTTCAGGATTGCAGTACAGCTTCTTGCCACTAGGCCACCAGAGCTCAGTTGTTGTTATGTGCCGTTGAGTCACTTGCAACCCTATGTACAACAGCTCTAAACCCTGCTCTATCTCTTACCAACCCTATTGTCTCTGACATACCTATCCCCAATACCCCAGTGACAGTATCAATCCATCTCACTGATGGTCTTCCTTTCCTGCACTGTCCCTCCACCCTCCCAAGTATGACATCTCTCCCCAAGGACAGATCCCGCCTTGCAACATGTCTGAAGTATGTAAAAGCTTCAGAATCCTTGCCTCCAAGGAGCAGCCTGGCTTCACCCTCTCCAGGACAAACTTGTTTGTTCTCCTAGCAGTCCATGGTATATACAATGCTCTTCTCCAGTACCAAAGCTGAAAAGCATCAATTCTCCTTCTATCATCCCTAGGTATTGTCCAGCTCTCTGATGTATAGCAAGCAATGGCAAAGACCATGACCTCTATCAGGCACATCTTAGTCTCCAGACTGACATCATCTCTGATAGTAGACTTTCCCAATGCAGTTTGTCTTTTCATTTTCTGGCTGTTGGTACCAAGAGTGTTGATTGTAAAGCCAAGCTGTCAACAATCTCAATCTCTTCACCATCCATCATGATGCTATCAATTAGCCCGGTGGTGAGAATCTTTGTTTCTTGATGTTGTTAGGATGATTTAAATCAGCAGTCCCTGAGATTGGAATCCTGCTACCCAGACCTCATCCCAGAATCTCACTCGGAATCTCTGGGGTGGGCCCAGGTTCTTGGTAGTTGGAATCCCAAGTGATTCCAATGTCCTATGTGTATTGAAAACCAGAGGTGTGACCTCATCCAGCTCAGGTTGTAAAAGATGAGAGTGGCTTTCGCATTGCTGTTTGTACAGAGTTGTGATAGTCGTGTTCTGCTGTAGGTCTTACCAGCCCCCATGAGCCATGAGAGGGGTTGTTTCTCCTGCTGCTCAAAGTAGGGGACGAGAGGGCTGTGTTTCAACTTCCTGAAGGCAGTAACTCAGAAAGAAGAATGGTGGTGGTTGGTGGTGGCTGTCAAGTGGATTCTGATGCATAGTGACTCCAAGAAGGGAGTCCAGTCAAAATTGCCAGGCACCTGGCTGTATCATTGTAAGTTATGGTCACTGGAGGTGGTGAGTGCTGGGCGGAATGCTGGACTGCACATCTGCCATAGCTGTTCTGAATACACTCTCCTTCCCTGCCCTCGCCCACATGGAAGGTACCTGGGGTTGGGGAAAGCCTCACTGAGCTATGAGACCCTTGATCAACTGGCCCCACACACACACACCCCCCAGTCCTGTGCGTATCTTCCCCACTGGTCTTCTCACCTTTGTGTAGAGCCCCTGGGGAGGGTTCACAGACCTCTGACCTCTGGGATAGAGGTTCAGAGGCCTGAGGGACATGGTGACAATGAAGGTCCTTGGGCCTGGATGAGAAAGCAGAGAGTGTGAGAGATCCAGTATGGATGATTAAACTGTAGATGCAGAGACAGAGAGACACTCAGCAAACAAACCCATCAGCACCCTCCTACCCAGAGTAGGCTCAATAGTGGGCAGGACAGTCTGTGGGGATAAAGATGGTCTTGAAGATCAGATTTGCAGCATAGCTACTCAAGAGGATGTGGTAGGATTTAGAAGTCACACCCCCAAGCCCTCATCTTCCCTTTCTGTTTCCCACCCCAGGCCTCCATGGGCTTACTCCCCTCC